ACAAATTTCAATAATTCGCAGCTTGAACAGCAAGTGCCGACCGGCTCTGCCAAATCAGCTACTTTCGGTTCTAATCTCAAAGTTTTTTCCCCCCCTGGTCCGAGCCGCCTCCATCGATTTGTTTAGAAATGGCGCAACTTTCAAAATTCGCCTGGGTTACGCTAACCCAGTCAGTACCCTGAGGGTTAATATATTTTGATGTCAGATTAGGTAGGTAAAGTGACAGTTTGAGTTTATTTCGTTCACAATTGTGATGAAAGCATGTCTTCCAGTATTTTCTTTACTAATTAGTAGAGCAGACAATTTTACAACTCTTAAAATTGAAAATTCTTTGCTTTTTCGGGTGGTTCAATGATGCCGCACTCACTGTATTCACATGACATTCACAACAAAAATTGTTTATAATAAATTTATGTAAGAGTTAAAATTCCTTATCACATCGGAATATTGAAGTTGGCACACTAAGCTAAATAAATCACAAGTTTACTAATTTTTAAAACTTCCTATTTCAAAAAAAAACTTGATTATATTTCCACAAAATTTTTTGTTTTGTACGTGAAAAACAGTTTTTTTGGTTTTTCTTTATAAATAATAAACCTACGTGCCCGAAATTTTTGGACATAGTTTGTTTCAGTAAAACTAACTTATATATTGAATAAGAAAAAATTTCACTCAGTCATTTCTCAGAAAATTGAAGTGGTTCACTGTTGACGCTGGTTCAATGTAGCCTACTCTCCCCTACTTAAACTTATGTTTTAAAAAATAAAAGTTTGTTCAGTAAAATTATCATTTTATTTTTGCAAAAAAATTTTTTTGTTATATTTCTTCAAATATTTGATATTTTTAGGTTTTTCATTTTTTAATCAATTGGCCTGATTGCATTGCAACTTAATTTTTAATACCAATTGGAATAGACAGAAAATAAAGGAGATATTTTAAAAAACGTCTTTGCCCCGCATAACGCCTTTGCCCCACTCTCCCCTACATGCAAACTTTCAGAGGATAGAGAGATTCTATACTGGAAGAATTTTAGGTAAATTTCTGTTTTTTATAGTAGGAAATCAGAACCACCATTCTAAATTATAAACAGATCTGTGAGTTTAGTATCGCTGCTAAGAAGTTGTAACCAAATAATTATTTGTTCGTATAATTTCAATATACATACAATCAAATGATCAGATAAGTAATTAACGGTATAAAATATAATAAATTTATTTAACATTCAATTGAATCTATAACCATTAATGAAACAATACAGACCAAATATGAAGATGTAAGGTGATCGCGGTCGCTTGTTGAAACGAGAAGATCATGATTTTGGTAGTCAATTATAAATTTCGTTGAGCCAATTTAATCCACATTATACTGAATTTCTTTAATTGATGTACAATACTTAAATATGAATCGGAACTCAACATATCGATTCGGTACCATTAAATAAGTAAGCATCACAGGAATCTTCGTTGATCACAAGTTTAGCCGCACATCAAAAATGTACCACACAGAGAAAAACTGAACTCAAAATGAGTCGTAAAAGTGACTCATTATGAGCTGCAACAAAAATGAACCTCACAGATGGCGCCACGTTCTATGTCATTTAACATAGACTCATTTTGAGTTGCAACAAAAATGAGTCCGATTTTTTTCTGTGCACCACTCTAATAAATAATACAAATAATGCATTTTCGTTCTTATATATATAACAATAATTTTCCATTAACGGTTTTGTAGAACAATATATATGCTGATTGAGTCCTACGACCACGAAGCTGACCGCATGTGCCACATCATCCGCAAGGTCCGGATTTGTTTATACTCTATGCGAACTTTGACCTTAGGGCAAATACGGCTACTAGGTTTTCATTCTTAGAAAATGTCGTTAATTTATTTTCGTTGCTGAGTATTTAGCACTTCTATTTAGAAATAGTTGAAGTGCTTGCTTTTTGAGGAACATTTATCACTGTTTTACCCTCTAAATGTCAGAAACAGTCACAAAGTACGTGTATCAAGTTAGCAATACAACTTTACAAAATTAAAATTTTAACCACATGGAAATTAGCCGTTAATTAGTCGCTAATTAATTGTGCAAAAATCAATTTTATCGTTTATCGTTTTTTTTATTTTTTAGGGGTGCCTTGCCAAGTTAGCAAGGCACCTTTATAACAACGATAAACCAATAGCAACAATAAATTTTTAATCATAGAAATTAGCCGTTTTTTAACCGTAAACCAACGGTCAAAACATTTTTTTTAATAATTAAAAAGTAATACATAAAAAATCATTTTTCAAAAAAATATTGAATTCTCCTTTACCCTTTAAGTCACGCAATTCAAGAAAAGTCGAAATGTTCCAAACAGAACAGTATACTACATTTCGGGGTCAGATATAAAAAATTTTTTAAATTCAAAATGGCGGATTCAATATAGCGGACGACTTTTTCCAAAAACAATCCAAATTCCTTAAGATTTTGTAATTGGGGTTTTTTTTACAGTTTCATCAAATTTTATAATTTTTGCACATTTATTTTTTAGCAGAAACCATCGACACGGACACGAAAAAACACTAAAATCCGTGTCGTATCCGTGTCGTGCATTGACACGACACAAAAAACGCTAAGTAATTCGTGTCGTGCCAAGGCACGACACATAAAATTTGTAGATGAAACACGTATGAAACACGTATAAAACACGGTGTAGAATCTTGAAAGCGACCCCAAAAACATAAAGTAGTCATAGTCTGATCAAAAGCTCAGAGCATCAATTTTTTTTGTGTGCCAGTGTAATTAGTCGTTAGTCGTTCCAAAATTAGTTGTGAGCTTTAAAAGTCATTTAGTTAATTTTACTTAAGTAGAATCGAAGAGATTCAATATTTTTCATGAATTCTAGCTAGGCAATCCCAGAAATACACTTTTACCCCAAACCGAGTTTTATAAAGTCGATAATAATTAGTCGTTAGTTGTTTCAAAGTTAGTTGTGAGTATTAAATTTTTTTTGTTTATCTTATTAAACGTAGAATTGAAAAGATTCAATATGTTCTATGAATTCCAGCTCTGGATTGTAAAAATTGGTAATTCGTATCGTGTCATGCCACGACAAAAGTAACGCTTTCAAGATTCTACACCGTGTTTTATACGTGTTTCATACGTGTTTCATCTACAAATTTTATGTGTCGTGCCTTGGCACGACACGAATTACTTAGCGTTTTTTGTGTCGTGTCAATGCACGACACGGATACGACACGGATTTTAGTGTTTTTTCGTGTCCGTGTCGATGGTTTCTGCTAAAAAATAAATGTGCAAAAATTATAAAATTTGATGAAACTGTAAAAAAAATTTGAAATACTAACGCCGTATTCATAATCAGCGACCTCATAAACCCCCAATTACAAAATCTTAAGGAATTTGGATTGTTTGTGGAAAAAGTCGTCCGCTATATTGAATCCGCCATTTTGAATTTAAAAAATTTTTTATATCTGACCCCGAAATGTAGTATACTGTTCTGTTTGGGACATTTCGACTTTTCTTGAATTGCGTGACTTAAAGGGTAAAGGAGAATTCAATATTTTTTTGAAAAATGATTTTTTATGTATTACTTTTTAATTATTAAAAAAAATGTTTTGACCGTTGGTTTACGGTTAAAAAACGGCTAATTTCTATGATTAAAAATTTATTGTTGCTATTGGTTTATCGTTGTTATAAAGGTGCCTTGCTAACTTGGCAAGGCACCCCTAAAAAATAAAAAAAACGATAAACGATAAAATTGATTTTTGCACAATGAATTAGCGACTAATTAACGGCTAATTTCCATGTGGTTAAAATTTTAATTTTGTAAAGTTGTATTGCTAACTTGATACACGTTCACAAAGTAGCTATAACACTATAAGGGTAGTTCTACAAACGAGGGAATATATGATGTCCAAGGTTGTTTTTTACATTAATTTTGAAAAAAATAAAATTATTTTCAATGGGAACTGTAGTGCTTAATGATTACTATTATGCCACAAATCGTGACCCGGTTTCAAAAAATATTTTTTGCAAAAAATAAGCATTCAAGTGCTAAATTCTCAGTTTCCTGGCATGTCCCATTGTGAAAATGAAAGTTAATAAATTATATAAATATTATTTTTAAGCGATTAAATACAAATTTACTCTTGAATTATAATTTCAAATAGTTGTACTTTACAAAGATTAAAATAATTGTTACATTACTTGATATTTCATTTAAAAAATATTATCTTGAATTTTGTCCATCGAATTAATTCTCAGTTTCCTGGCATCATAAAAAACGTTAAAATTATTAAGAATTTTCATTCCAATTAATTCACCATTTTTCACAGAGCTTAGTAAAGGTTAACTAAATATGATATCACTTGCATTTTACTTAACTTGCAGTTCAATTAACTAAAATTTTGTACTTTGTGATCGAAATAGGCATTTGGTCAGACAAATTCTCAGTTTCCTGGCACGCATTTAAAAAAAAATATTTTATGTTTTTATATTTTTGTTGTTCTAGGTGTCGTAGAATCTTATTCCCTGTTGACCAGTATTCCAAATTTTGTTATTAAGCCTTGTTTTTCAATTTTTTAGACGAAAAATAACCAAATTCTCAGTTTCCTGGCACTTTCTGACAGAATACACATGTGCTTCAGATGTAAAATTTAAAATTTTATTTTTTTGTCTGGCCACTTTTAGGTAACTTTGATAATACTTTTAACTTGAATTTAACCTACTTTTTAAAACCTGAACGTAAAAAAAATATTGTGCCAAAATTTTCTTCATTTTCGTCCTTCGTTTGTAGAACTACCCATAAGACAATTGAGCCGCTGGAAAGTATATCCACAGATAAAATTCTGACTGCCGTGCTAATTCAATGGGCGTCAGAATTTGGTTGTACTTTCCAGCGGCTCAATTGTTTTCCTTTGCGAGCCGAAACTAACCGAGCTTAGATTTTTGAGTGTTGCTAATAATAGAAAATGTAAAGATGTAAAATATGTTGTTGCAGAGGATGCCGCAGGTGCTAGAAGAGTATCGGGGGCGTGCGCTGTGTGTTCCAGTGATGTCGGTGGCGTGGAGCCCAGCACTGCTGGACCTGGATCATGGCCGGCAAGCCTGAACAGCCTCCTTATTCAGTTCCCCCAAATCAGAGTGAACGGCATCCCCAGCAGCCGCAGCCTCAGGGTGTTCAAGAGAACAGCGTTTTAGTTTACGTATCGGGGGATAATTTGGCATACGCAAGTGCTGTCGGGCAGAATGTTGTTGCCAGCGCTGGTACAGGTTACCAGCATCAACACACTCATCCACAGCAACAGCAGTCGCACCAACAACAACAACAACAACAACAACAACAACAACAACAACAACAACAACAACAGCAGCAGCAACATCATCATCAACAAGGACCCTACATTACTGGTTTGTTGCCCCAAGTGGCTTGCGGCGGATATCCCACGAAGGCGGCGACGCTACCTTCGTCAGCGACGCACGCAATTGACGTCGTGGGCACAAACTGCTGTAGGGGTCAGTTCCTAAAAACCTCAGAGTACGTCAACTCAGAGGTGGGAAATCAGCAGATTGATTGCCAACCAGAAAGGACGTTGGTATGGGGAAATGGCCCAAGATACGGAGCTGGAGAAGGTGCGACTTTATACAATTCATGTCCACAAGAGCGACCTGTCGTTTGGGGAAATGTCCCGCGATACGGAAACGAGGCTGCTGCTGGATTAACAGGACTGAACGGTATCGCTCAGGAACACGGCTTTCAAGGGAAAATGATACCTTCGGCGGTTCTCGATGATGGGACCAACAGTGTCACCTATCCCGTGCAGGTATCTCGATTGCCCGAGGCCTATGTCGCCAACAAAAGGATTGCGTTTACTTCGAATACCTCGGAACAGAGTGTAGTTGATGGTTGCGAGGGTGTTTACGGTGGTGAAAATAATGTGAGAATCGCATTTGTGCGACAAGGTGTCTATTCTGCTGATGGGGATGAACTCCAACTTCATAATAATGAGAGGAATAATCATCGTGTTCAGGGACAGGAATTAATTGAGAAGCAAATTAATTTTGGCTCTAATTGTTCGGGTAGTGTTGGACGTTGTGATTCAGTTCGATCGGATACGGCTGAATCAACTTGCAGCAGTCTAAGCAGTCAGGAGAGCCAAAGTCAATTGCATGATCCTAATAACGTCGTGACAAATAGTGCTTACGCGCAGCAGGCTGTGCGATCAGCTTCGCAGCTATATCCTCATCTTAATGTTATGGCATCCAATAATGTGAACCCAAGTGCAGTGCCGCAACGACAACAGAGACAGCAGCAACAACATCAGCAGCAACAACAACAGATTACGCAACAGCAACAACATGTTACGCAACATCAAGCGAATATCTCTATTCCGCCCGGGTGGAAACGGATCTGCACTAATGGAGTCATCATATATATCAGGTAAATGATTATACTTATTTCATTTTTTTTAACTATCCGCTTTTAACAGTGTTCAGCGGGAAATTTTACATCTACAAACATTTAGAAATAAAATTACTGCAAAAACAGGTGTTTTATCAGGGTGACCGCATATGAAATACTGGTTATTTTGATGTGAGAAAAGATAGGAACATTTATTCTAAAACTTATTAATTACATTTCATTCAAAAGGATTGAATGTTCAATAAAAACGTTTTATTTTGTAAACAACATTTAAAATAAATATTCAGGGTTGCTACAGGTTAGAGAAATCAGGAAGAAGTCAGGGAATTTTATCAAAAATAATATTGGAGAAATATTCAGTTTCTAGAATTCATAAGAAAATTCTGAACTTTGTTGTCCAACGCAACAAGCTTTAAAGAAAAGAAAATATTCAATTTAATTTAAAATTCTTTCTATTTCTAACAAATAATAATTCAAGTTTACAGATTTGAAACTGAATTTATTTTAAATAATTCTACGAATAATTTTATTCAAAAATTCAAAAAATAATTAAGGGGAGACTTCGACTACATTTTTAATTATATCAAAAAAATTATTTAAATCTTCCATAAAATTATTTTTATAGTAATATTTTGAAAGGAATAGTCAGAAAATATTCTGACCCTTTTTGGAATTTTATTCTTCTTCAAAATTCATACTCTCTAAATCTGAATAAGTGCATATGCACTTATTCATGTTTCAAAACTCTTCCACGTAAAAAATAAGTGCATATACACTTAAAATAAGTGAAATTTCACTTGTGAGTAAGTTGAATTTCATTTATATTAAGTGTATATGCACTTATTTTTTTACGTGGAAGAGTTTTGACTTATTCAGATTTAGAGAGTACATTTTAAAATTTATTCGTAATTTTGTAGAAAATATATTTTTCATACCTCAGGCACAAAATAGGCGTTTTTAGATAGCAGCCGACAGGAACTAAAAGCCATTCATTTGTCCACTTGAATGAAAATGGCGACCTTTTTTTCCCAAGGACAAAAGAACAGTTGGTCCCATGCTTTTTTGCCCAAGGTAAAAAAGGCCGCCATTTTCATACAAGTCGAACAAGTGAATGACTTTTACTCCCTGTCGTCTGCTATCTGAAATCGCCCCTTTTGTGCCTTTGGAATAAAAAATATCGTAAGTAACACGGGACTTAAAGGCTGCCAATTTATTTACGATGATTTTTGTGTCACTCGTTACGGTCTCGGGGCGCCCTCGACCTCCACTCGTGTCACAAAAATCACCGTAAATAAATGGCTGCCTTTACGTACCTTGTTGCTTAATATACTATTTATATCACTACACAAATTACCGGATAAAAAAATTGATTTTTTTATTTTATACAATTTTTGGAGCATTTTCTTATTAAAAAAACATTGTTTTTAGGTTAAAAATGCTAAAAATACTAAATAGAATTTAACATTAAGCCCCAGCCATTTAACATTTAAGTTAAAAAAACAAAATTTTGAAAAAAGGACAAAACATGTATTTTATGCGAAAATATCAGAAACTTTTTTATTGAAAGTTGTAGAGGACAAATTGCCCTACAATATTGATATATAAATATTTACATCCAAGAGGAATATATTGTCTAAAAAAATCATTTTTGCAAAATTTAACCTTTCGCCCCAGTCTCCCCTAATAAATAATTTAAAATCTATCAATGTTTAAGAAAAATGAAAATCCGAAAAGGATCAGAATATTTTTTAACCGATTTTATTTTTTGACCATTGATTTCCTCTCAAAAAATTACTGCAAAAATAATTTTATAGAAGATTTAAATCATTTTATTGATATAGTTATGAAACTGTAGCCGAAGTCTCCCCTTAAAAAAAAAAGTAAAAGTTGAGCTTTAAATATTTATAAATAATATAGGGTAAGTGTACCAATTGCCGAGGGTGTCCCATTTGTCGATGTTACCATGGTAATAACCAAAAAATATTGTCTAAAATGTCTCATTTGTTTGTGGATATAACATTAATATATTTTTTTCACATTTATAACGCATAAGAAAATTAATATTTATCACTTTATTCCATTTACAATGTGCTCCAATGTTTAAATAAAATTCAAAGTTTGTTTACTCGACAACAGGAACCATCCTCGACAATTGGTACGTTTACCCTATGAATAACTAGAAAAACTGGCTATTTAATTTATTATAATTCAATAATTATTTTCACGAAATTTCCATAAAATTCTTCAAAACAATTAAATTATTTTCAAAAATTATAATAAAATTTAAAATAGTAGATGTAAAATAGCGAAAAATAAATTAATTTATACATTTTTTTTTGTAACAATACTAGGATCACAAAACTTATTTTCTAAATTTGAATTAGTAAATATTGAAACTAATTAGAACAAAAGTGATACGAAATTTTAAAAAATTTCGAAATAGAACCAGATATTAAAATAAATAAAATTCGGTTCTTCTTAGAAAATAAATTTTTAAAAAACCGTATTTTCCATTAATATATCAATTTGTTTTTCAACAACAATTTATAAGTATAGAGGAGAACGGGGCGAGGCCCCTGGAGATAAAATTTTGAAGTTGTTCAAAATGAATTTTAAATTATTGTTTCTTGTACAGAATTTCAAGGTGAAACTTTTTTCTAATAAAAATTTTTTATATAATTTCTCGTTTTCACGTAAATTGAAAAAACGTGATTTTTTGAGTTAAGAAATTTTAATTAATTTTTTACTTCAACTCGTGACTACTTCGTTAAATATTAATATTTTTCCACGAAATTTACACACAATATTCTTCAAACTATTCCAAGAGTGAAACAATATTTGGAAATTTAAAAAAAATTGTATGTCAAGGTAAATAATTATTTAAATAATTTTGTCGGAAAAATGATTCTCCTATTTTCAATTGAAAAAGTTAAGTGACGAATTTTTGTTTTCGGAAAACTTTCAGCGACAAAAATGTTCATTAATATGTTAGGAAGTTTTTTGGAAAATATCTCGCCATTTGATAATAAATTAAAGACAATAGAGCAATTTTAACATCGTCGCGCTCTGCTGTAAACGTAAACAATGTCTAACTATATACATTGGTCTTGTTATGGCGGCCATGCTACATGTGCGCCGCCACGCCGCAATTTTACAGCAGAGCGCGACGATGTTAAAATTGCTCTATTGTCTTTAATTTATTATCAAATGGCGAGATATTTTCCAAAAAACTTCCTAACATATTAATGAACATTTTTGTCGCTGAAAGTTTTCCCAAAACGAAAATTCGTCACTCAACTTTTTCAATTGAAAATAGGAGAATCATTTTTCCGACAAAATTATTTAAATAATTATTTACCTTGACATACAATTTTTTTTAAATTTCCAAATATTGTTTCACTCTTGGAATAGTTTGAAGAATATTATGTGTAAATTTCGTGGAAAAATATTAATATTTAACGAAGTAGTCGTCACGAGTTGAAGTCAAAAATTCATTAAAATTTCTTAACTTAAAAAATCACGTTTTTTTCAATTTACGTGAAAACGAAAAATTATATAAAAAATTTTTATTAGAAAAAAAGTTTCGCCTTGAAATTCTGTACAAGAAACAATAATTTAAAATTCATTTTGAACAACTTCAAAATTTTATCTCCAGGGGCCAACTTATTTGCCGTGTGTTCGCGCGTGTGCCCTTTTAAGATCCGGAGCCTCAATTACTTCTTATCTCCGCATAATTTTTTCAAATCGTGCGCTATTGATAATGTAGACTGCTTATGGTAGTTTACTTTAGTTGCTAACAGGTGGGCATTATTGCTGCAGCAGTTTAGCAATGACAGTATCATTTATGGAAACAGACTTTTTAAATGTAACTTCTCTAAGAGTTATTTTGGTGATTTTAGTTAATAGAGTTACACGAATAAAATTCTTAAATAGTGATTTTCAATGCAGAATTTAGTGCCGAAGACGATGGTGTTAATGCAATTGCGATATTTTTAATATTACGGGTTTTGTGAATGTTTTCTTAAAAAAGTACTCGTGGGGTTAGGCAGCCAACTTAAATTTTTCGTCTTTTTGTGTTGATTTTATTAGTTCTTCTAAATGTTTTCTCTTTTTTTCCTACTCCAATACATTTTAAACTTAAAATTGAATTTTATAAACCATTTTTTAAGAATAACAAATTTATATTTCCTAAGAATGTTAAATTGAATTTAATTAATGTTATTATTATAATATTATTCAAATGTAAATTTTTGAAGTTTACTAACAAAATAAAAGTAAGTTAAGTGCAACTACCTTGTTATGTTTCAAATATTGTTATGTTACTTGTTATGTGCAAATATGACAAAATGTGGTCCTTTGGGAAAAGGGTTGTAGAAATTTTTAAGTGCAACCTACGTCAAAATGTTCTATGGCGATTTTTTAGCCAAAAATACAAGCTTTCTAACGCGATATTAAAATTAAAAAAACCTATTTAAATAACCCCATGCAGAAATTGAGATTGGAATTTTATGGGGTCCTAGCCAGAATTCCCTATCTTTAGTGGGGAACTGATTAGAGAAAATCGTTAGAACCCAACTACTTTCATAACGGTCGGCAGATGGGGTACTGACTAGAATATCTAGTCGGGAACTAGTTAGTAAAACTAGCTGTGTGTTGATAGGGCCCCGACTAGAATTTTCTAGTTGACTTTTAAAAATTATTATTTTTCAACTTAATCTATTTATAATTGAATTCTTCATTCATATTAACATTATTAATGAATGTTGTACACGAAAAACCTGAAACTTGAGTTGAAAAATCTCGTGCCCATGGAGATCGGAACCTTGGACCTTGGGGACTTCAGTCGGATACACATACCTCCCGGCCGTGATAGCTTGGAAGCACCTCCGCTTAAATTACATCCCGTATAGCAATTCACCATTTGCCCCTACCTCTAGTAGGGCTCTTGCTTGATTCTAACTAGAATCTCTAGTCTAGAAAAACTAGTCGGGTTCCAATCAAATTCTAGTTAGATAATT